ACAGTGTGAAGTGAGCTTTTCAAGATCCGTTGACAACTGAGTCCTATTTCATACTGCTTGCATCTGCTTGCTCGCGTGAGAAAAGCTTGTTCACTCCCTCTCCTGTATTTGCACGGTTGTTGGAAGGACGACGAGGAGCCGGAGTACGGCGATCTGACTTACCTCGCCATGGTGTGGTGTGCTGGGGTTGCCATCGGCCTCATCTTCTACGGAGCTTCCGAGCCCCTGTTCCATCTTAAAGATGGAACCAACCGTCGCCTGGCTTTGATGGCGCTTGTTTGCAGTTCCGAGTGCTGTGCATGCTTTATACCATGTGCTGAGGCTACAACAACGATGGCTACTCCAACGATAACCAGATGGCAATGAACGCAATGCACGTTACCATATTCCACTGGGGCTTCCTGGCATGGATTGTGTACTGCATCACGGCCCTGACTATGGGCTTCCTTTCATACCGCCACGACTTGCCTCTCTGCTTCCGCACCACCCTTGCCCCGGTGATGGGAAAGGCTACCTGGGGTTGGCTTGGTGACATGCTGGATGTGTTGACCATCGTCACGATCGTGGCAGGGCTCTGTACTTCGTTGGGTTTGGGAGCTCGACAGATTGTGGGCGGCTGCCAACGTTTGGGCTGGATTAGTGGCTCGTTGACGGACGACGAGTTGACCAATACGGCTGCCTGGATCATTGGAATCATCACGCTTTGCGCAACAGCTTCTGTGGTCGCAGGTCTGGATATCGGGATCAAGTTTGTGTCCTACCTTGCCTTCATGCTTGGCAACTTCTTGATGGTCGCCGTGTTTTGCATGGATGAGTCCTGGTACATCCTGAACGTCATGACGAGCACCCTTGGATATCACCTGCAGTACTTCATCGAGATTGCCTTCGACACGGATGCCTTTGCCCAACTGGCCCTGGGCAACGGGGGGCCCAACGATGGAAAGGGAGCGAATCCTTCCTGGATGGACTGGTGGACCATCTTCTACTGGGGCTGGTGGATCGCCTGGGCGCCGTTTGTGGGCACCTTCATGGCTCGCATCTCTCGCGGTCGCACCATCAAGCAGGTCATCCTGTACACCCTCACCATCCCCTTTGCCTATGCCTTGATGTGGTTCTGCACCTTCGGGCCAGCAGCCATCCGCATGGACCGGCGTGCCACCTGGCTGGCGCAGGTGGGCCTGGAGTCTTACGGCAATGCGGACTACTTCTTGCACGAATCTGCGGGATTCCGCCCTGCTAACGCGGGCAAGTGCTACAACGTGCCTGCAAGCCTGAACGCGACGGTATACCCCGGCTACGCGCCCACCCCAGGTCTGAGCCCAGTGTGCGTTTTCGCTTCGGCTGATTCTTCGGGCTACTGGTTTGACCTGATGAACCAGTACTACGGCATGGGCGATTTCTTGACCTTTGTGTCCATCGTCACGACTGTGCTGTACTTTGTGACCTCCTCCGACAGTGGATCGCTGGTGGTGGATCTCATCGCAGCCAACGGTAGGGAGGCTCATGTCGTTCAGCGCGTCTTCTGGGCCCTCACGGAGGGTGCTGTGGCTATCGCTTGCCTGGCGTCGGGCGGCTTCGGCTCGTTGACCGGCTTGCAGGCGGTGTCCATCGTCATGGGCCTGCCCTTCACCTTCATCCTGATGATCATGTGCACCTCCCTGTGGCGGGCCCTGAAGATTGAAGCTGGGGACATGCTGCCAGCAGGCCAGCGCAACGACTGGAACTTGCCGCTCTACGGTGGCATTTTGGACATTCCGGAAGTTGCATTCAGCTTGGGCAAGGCTCCGATGCCCAAGATGGAACACGTGAAGGCCTTCTTCGTGGCCCTTCTCTTGCCCGGGTGGAGTCTTATGAAGGCGATGAACGGCCTGGCCAAGTGGCAAGAGCGGGCCATGCTGCAAGCGACGCGCGTGTTGATCGCGATCGCAGCGCAGCTGTCCTTCTTTGGCTTCGTGATCTGCCACATCCTCACTCCTATCTACAAGGACAATGACATCGGCATCACAGGCCAGGGACTGTGGATGTTCGGCTGGGCCTGCTACCTTTCCAAGGTCTTGCTGACCAGCATGGTGCGCCACTTGATTCGGCGGCACTACTCCATCGAAGGCTCCGGAATGGAAGACTTCTGGGCGGCCCTGCTGTTCTACCCGCAGGTGCTTGCGCAGATGGTGGCCCAGATTCCAACAGCACCCGCCCCAAAGAAAGCGAAGGCCAGGCCAAAACTGCCGGACGGAAGGGTCCGGGTGAGACACTGAGAAGGGTTTGGTTTGTCTGGAGGAAACTCATGCTGAGTTGCTGCGCATTTGGAGCTGGGAGAACTTGGCCAGGTGCAAAAGGCGGTCGCCAAGGAGGAGATTGTCGTCTGACACATTGAGCTTTGCCTTGTGCCTTCTGCTTTTGTTCGACCTGGAGCCTTCACAGAGACCCTGTCGAAAGGCAGACACCCTGTGTCCCTTAGCCAAGAGAAGCGACTGGGTCCAGGCTGCATGCTCCCAACTCTTGACTGGTCGGACGGCAGAGTACAGCCGGAGTTCCTATAAAACAAGCTGTGAGAAATTTTGGTCAGAATGGTGGCTTCAGGACAAGGCTGTGCTTGTTTTCAAGATTTTGAAGCAACATTTCAATCTGCTTCAGACCTGCTTGGCAGTGCTTGTCATTCCTGGCCACTGACATACTTCTACTCGGCAGAATCTTTCCGAGTACTCACATACTATAAAGCGTGGCACTGCCTGACTTGAAGACACATGTTGTGAAGCTGATCCGAGGTTTGAATCCCTTCATGACTCTGTGTTTCGTGTTTCGGTGCTTTACGTCCTAGGGTGTTTCAAGGTGCTACGCCAATCGTTGCAAACATCTCGGCTTTCTCCAAAGGGGATACTGAGACAAATGTGACTGTCCGACTCCTGAGGAAGGCGCCTGAAAAGCGCGCGGAGACATGACGCATCACAAGTAGCACAGGCGACACTCAAATAGAATAGTGAGAACAATACTTGCAGGCAATAGTAGTAACAGGAATCAATCGCTGTAGTAGCAGTAATTAATCGCGATAGTAATAGTAATAGCAATGACAATGGTAAAAGTTATAATAGTTCCAGCAATAATGCTAGTTATAGGAATGATGATGATAGCAATAGTAAGACAGATAGGAATAGTGTGAGAAATTGCTGTATTACAAGTACTAGTAATCTTATTTTTGGACAAGCAATAGCTCTTGTAGCAGTGTAGAAGCAGCAGTAGTAGTAGTAGTAGTAGTAGTAGTAGTAGTAGTAGTAGTAGTAGTAGCAGGAGTAGTCGTAGTAGTAGTAGTAGTAGTAGTAGTAGTAGCAGGAGTAGTCGTAGTAGTAGTAGTAGTAGTAGTAGCAGTAGTAGTAGTCGAAGTAGAAGTACTAGTAGTAGTAGTAGTAGTAGTAGTAGTAGTAGTAGTAGTAGTAGTAGTAGTGGTAGTGGTAGTGGTAGTAGCAGTAGTAGTAGTAGTAGTAGTAGTAGTGGTAGTGGTAGTAGCAGTAGTAGTAGTAGTAGTACTACTAGTAGTAGTAGTAGTAGTAGTAGTAGTGGTACGTAGTAGTAGGAGTAGCAGTCGTAGTTCTAGGCGTAGTAGTAGGAGTCGTAGTAGTAGTAGTAGTAGTAGCAGTTGTAGTAGCAGTAACAATGATAGTAATAGTAGCGGTAGCAGTAGTAGCAGAAGTAGCAGTACTAGCAGTACTAGCAGTAGCAGCATCAGTAGCAGTAGCAGTAGTAGCAGTAGCAGTAGAAGTAGTAGTAATAATAGTAGTAATAGTAGCAGTAGTAGTCGTCGTCGTAGGCGTAGTCGTGTCGCTAGTAGCAGTAGTAGTAGTAGAAGAAGAAGAAGAAGTAGCAGTGGCATTAGCAGCAGGAGTAGTAGGAAGTAGTAGCTTAGTAGTTGTAACTTAATGTACTAGGAATCGTCATACTGGTAATAGCAATAGTCATGATAAAACCAAGAGTACCAGCAAGAGTGGCGGTCGTAGAACTGCAATAGCAGTAGCAGTATCAGTAGCAGTACCAGTAGCAGCAGCAGTAGCAGTAGCAGTAGCAGTAGCAGTAGTTGTAGCAGGAGTAGCAGTAGTAGTACTAGTAGTAGCAGTAGAAGTAGTAGTGGTAGTAGTAGTAGTAGTAGTAGTAGTAGTAACAACAGTTCTAATCATAGGAATAGCACACTGATCAGACGAACAGCAATGGTAACAGAACGAGTAGGTAGTGTCAGTATTAGTGGCAATAGTACTCGCAGTGGGAATACTAAAGCGAAGTAATGATAATACAATGGCACCCCTCAGTATACACAGACAGTTCCTATTTACACACTATATATAACATTTGTGATGCCTTGCAGTTACGTTCACAATGTTATGCTTGAGGCTTTGCCGTGTCGTGCTTGTGGCTTGGGGCTGTTGTCATGGGGCCTTGCAACCTCAGAAACTTTGGTGGCTCCAGGTATGCGATGACGGGCGTGACCTGTAAGGCAGGCACGGAGGCTGAACATTTTCCATGTGAATGACATTGCTGCTGTTTTGGCATTGAAGAATGTAGTCAGCTGGCGCGTGTGGGGAAGCGTGTGTGAGCGAGAGAGAGAGAGAGAGAGAGCGCCCCCTTTCTTGTTCATGGAGGCAGTGGAGTCACGATTTCGTGGCTGCTTGGTGGATATTGTCCATGTTCTCAGCAAGCAAAGACCGAAGCCCCAAACCCACCCTAAACCCAATCGAATAGCACGCAAGACACCCTGCACTAAAGCCCGTGCCACCAACCCTAAACCTGTCAAAAACAACTAGCTTGAAATCTCACCCTAAACAACTCCTGGACCGCTTCCGTCCGGAGGACGGGCTTGGCAGCGCGCGCTCCTCGTGCCAACACCATGCTTGGCGCGGCAAAGCCTAAAACAGGTGCACGCACAGACTGCTGAATTCTTCACCCACGTTCCATTGCGGAATTTTGAAAGGCCTGGCTCAAGCGAAGTAGTTTCGCGCACCTCTCCGAGACTTGCTATGACGGAAGCCAGAATCTCAGGGTTGAGATGCGTGCCAAAAACTAGGGTGGCAGAGACTTCGACACCTTGCAAGCTTCGAGAGCACGAGGTAGATAGTTTAAGGGCTGCCGCCCTGTGCCGCCGGCCCCTGCTTGCTGACAGGGGACGTTGGTATGACAATTATGATTACGCATTTTTCGTCGGGTTTAACGGCACACTTAAAGCATATAGAAGAGCAGCACGATAATGATGATGTTTTTGATGATGCAATTTTTACCCAACATTCGAGATGCTGATAATTATTTCTATGCATTCGCATTATCGCCAGCAGTTATGATGATAATTGTTACTTTGCATTTTTAGCATCACCAGCACTTGTTCTGATAATTATGACGACGCATTCCCTGCATCTCAAACAAGCCACTGCAGGATAAATTCGCATGATGATAAGCACCTTGTTTAATGTTACAAGAAGTGCCCAAGGTGTGTGGAAAGTCGGGCAGGAAAACCATGTTGGGGGCCTTTTCTTTTCTTCTCAAGACTTCGATGTATTGCTGTGGATGCGAAGTGTGGACTTTGTGCCATCGCTTCGTCTTCGCGAGAAGTAAGCCACCTCGGGATGCAATCAGATGGTGATGGTGATGATGATGATCATGATGATGATGATGATGAACTATGCACCCCCGGCATCACCAGCAGTTATTATGACAACCTACGCATCCCCTGCATCTCAAGTCAGGTCCAACGGCACACTTGAAATGTGTGTGAAAAAGAAGAGCGCCACTTTGATGATGAACATGATGAGGAACATGATGAAGAAAATGCTGAACATGATGGTGAAAATGATGATGATGATGATGATGAACATGAAAATGATGTTGAACATGATGATGATGATGATGATGATGATGATGATGATGATGGCGATGACGATGAACATGATGATTACGATGATGAACACCACCATCACATTTTCATCATCGTGTTCATCATCATCATCATGTTCATCATCATCATCATTTTCATGTTCATCATCATGATCATCATCCTGATGATAATCATCGCTACGCATCCTCAGCATCACCAGCAGTTAACGTCATCACTATGCATCCCCAGCATCAGCAGCAGTTAGCCTGACAATCGTAACGCGTCCTCTGCTTTTTGAGTCGGGTCTGACGGCATATATGAAAAAAGAAGAGCGCCACGGTTTTGATGATGAACATGATGATGAACACGATCATGATGATGAACATGATGATGATGACCATCATCATTTTCATCATGACTATGCATCCCCAGCATCAGCAGCAGTTACCATGACAATCATGGCAACGCATCCTCTGCATTTCCAGTCGGGTCTAACGGACTTGAAACGTATATGAAAAAGAAGAGCGCCACAGTTTTGATGATGAACATGATGAGGAACATGATGATGAACATGATGATGCGATGATGATGTTCATCATCATCATCGCATCATCATGTTCATCATCATGTTCCTCATCATGTTCATCATTATCATCATCATCATCAGCATCCTGATGGTAATCATCGTCACGCATCGTCAGCATCACCAGCAGTTAACATCATCACATGTTCCTCATCATGTTCATCATCATCATTATCCTCATGATAATCATCACTATGCATCCTTGGCATCACCAGCAGTTTCCATCATCACTATGCATCCCAAGCATCAGCAGCAGTTATCATGACAATCATGACAACGCATCCTCTGCATTTCCAGTCGGGTCTAGCGGCACACTTGAAACGTATATGAAAAAAGAGGAGCGCCAAGGTAATGATGATGACCCGGATGCTGCGAACCATCACCCAACATCAGTGGTGATGATAATCATCACTAAGACAAGGACAAAGACAGACCCTTCCCATGCGCCTCCCTTTTTTGGAGAAAGGGGTCGGCTGATTTAAATCCAGACGCAGGCGCAAAAGACGCTTTCGACCAGAAATGCAGTGACCAAGTGTCATGAGCCTTAGAAAAACTGGTGGCAAATGCTTGGGTCTGACGCGCGGTTTTTTGAGAGTGTTTTTCACCAACTTCAAGTGGGCCATTTTCGGTTTGCCCGCACTCTTACGAAGTGCGTCATGTTAGCAGTTGTTTGGTTAGCGTGCGGAATGAGGGGCAGCGAAGCGCTGTATAGAAAACGTGCTTCGCGAACTGAGCGAGAGAAGCTGGACGGCTAAGTCATGCTGAATCCCAGGCTAGAGCATTCAGTGCCAAGCCTTGCGCCAGCCTTCATGCCGCGAGCTTTCCGAGGCAGATAAGGAGTACGAGAAAGGGTATGGATCTGGCCCGCAAGGCACGCGAGAGGTGAATCTTTGCACCTGAACTGCACCGCAGCTGTGTGCTTGTTGGCGCTCGCACAAAGATTCCCACGAAAAGGAGGTTGCGGCTGTCAAGTGTGCGTGTCACCTCCCAGGCTCGATCCGCTTCAATCCCATCGTGTCGATCCTTGCAGCGCTTGCGCTGTGGGCCTTTGTGTTGTATGCCGTGCTTGATGATCAGTCCACGACCGTTTTCGGGGAGTGGAAGAGTTACGTGACGCAGAAGTTCACCTGGCTCTACATCTTATCCCAGGACAGCGTAGCCTCATCCAAAAACCTTCAATGTCGTCATTTCATGGGGAGTCTTGGGATCATATCGGCCGGGGGTGTTGCGTGGCTGACCAGGACTATTGGATCGTCTTCCTGGTCCCTCTGGTTTACTACTACGGGGAGATGAAGCTGGGCAAGGACAGTGTGAAGTGAGCTTCTGAGGAGCCCAATTGGGTACTGTTTCGTTCAGCGTGCACCTGTTTGCCCTGTTAGTCTTGTGCCTGCTTGCTCGCGCGAGAAATGCTCGGTCACTCCCTCTCGCCCCTATTTGCACGGGTTGTTGGAAGGACGACGAGGAGCCGGAGTACGGCGATCTGACTTACCTCGCCATGGTGTGGTGTGCTGGGGTTGCCATCGGCCTCATCTTCTACGGAGCTTCCGAGCCCCTGTTCCATCTTAAAGATGGAACCAACCGTCGCCTGGCTTTGATGGCGCTTGTTTGCAGTTCCGGGTGCCGTGCATGCTTTATACCATGTGCTGAGGCTACAACAACGATGGCTACTCCAACGATAACCAGATGGCAATGAACGCAATGCACATCACCATATTCCACTGGGGCTTCCTGGCATGGATTGTGTACTGCATCACGGCCCTGACTATGGGCTTCCTTTCATACCGCCACGACTTGCCTCTCTGCTTCCGCACCACCCTTGCCCCGGTGATGGGAAAGGCTACCTGGGGTTGGCTTGGTGACATGCTGGACGTGTTGACCATCGTCACGATCGTGGCAGGGCTCTGTACTTCGTTGGGTTTGGGAGCTCGACAGATTGTGGGCGGCTGCCAACGTTTGGGCTGGATTAGTGGCTCGTTGACGGACGACGAGTTGACCAATACGGCTGCCTGGATCATTGGAATCATCACGCTTTGCGCAACAGCTTCTGTGGTCGCAGGTCTGGATATCGGGATCAAGTTTGTGTCCTACCTTGCCTTCATGCTTGGCAACTTCTTGATGGTCGCCGTGTTTTGCATGGATGAGTCCTGGTACATCCTGAACGTCATGACGAGCACCCTTGGATATCACCTGCAGTACTTCATCGAGATTGCCTTCGACACAGATGCCTTTGCCCAACTAGCCCTGGGCAACGGGCGGCCCAACGATGGAAAGGGAGCGAATCCTTCCTGGATGGACTGGTGGACCATCTTCTACTGGGGCTGGTGGATCGCCTGGGCGCCGTTTGTGGGCACCTTCATGGCTCGCATCTCTCGCGGTCGCACCATCAAGCAGGTCATCCTGTACACCCTCACCATCCCCTTTGCCTATGCCTTGATGTGGTTCTGCACCTTCGGGCCAGCAGCCATCCGCATGGACCGGCGTGCCACCTGGCTGGCGCAGGTGGGCCTGGAGTCTTACGGCAATGCGGACTACTTCTTGCACGAATCTGCGGGATTCCGCCCTGCTAACGCGGGCAAGTGCTACAACGTGCCTGCAAGCCTGAACGCGACGGTATACCCCGGCTACGCGCCCACCCCAGGTCTGAGCCCAGTGTGCGTTTTCGCTTCGGCTGATTCTTCGGGCTACTGGTTTGACCTGATGAACCAGTACTACGGCATGGGCGATTTCTTGACCTTTGTGTCCATCGTCACGACTGTGCTGTACTTTGTGACCTCCTCCGACAGTGGATCGCTGGTGGTGGATCTCATCGCAGCCAACGGCAGGGAGGCTCATGTCGTTCAGCGCGTCTTCTGGGCCCTCACGGAGGGTGCTGTGGCTATCGCTTGCCTGGCGTCGGGCGGCTTCGGCTCGTTGACCGGCTTGCAGGCGGTGTCCATCGTCATGGGCCTGCCCTTCACCTTCATCCTGATGATCATGTGCACCTCCCTGTGGCGGGCCCTGAAGATTGAAGCTGGGGACATGCTGCCAGCAGGCCAGCGCAACGACTGGAACTTGCCGCTCTACGGTGGCATTTTGGACATTCCGGAAGTTGCATTCAGCTTGGGCAAGGCTCCGATGCCCAAGATGGAACACGTGAAGGCCTTCTTCGTGGCCCTTCTCTTGCCCGGGTGGAGTCTTATGAAGGCGATGAACGGCCTGGCCAGCAAGATGCAGTTCATTCCGTTCGCTGCTCGGGTGATCATTGCTAAGACGACGCAGCTGGCCTTCCTTGGCTTCGTGATCTGCCACATCCTCACTCCTATCTACAAGGACAACAACCTAGGCATCACAGGCGAGGGCCTGTGGATGTTCGCCTGGGCCCTCTACATTGGCCAAGTCATGCTGATCTGCATGGTGCGCCACCAGATTCGGCGGACCTACTCCATCGAAGGCTCCGGAATGGAAGACTTCTGGGCCTCCCTGCTGTTCTACCCGCAGGTGCTCGCGCAGATGGTGGCCCAGATCAGCACGGATCCCAGCCCCAAGCAGAAGAAGGCCAGGGCCAAAACCGCAAACCTGCGGGCGCCGGGGGGACGGGAAGGGCGGCGAGAAACAGTTGCTTCACAGTTGGTGCGGCGCATGCTCTTGAGCTTGGGAGAATCCTATCATAGTGCCGCCAGGTGCCAGCTGAGGTGGTCGGCAAGGAGGACACCATCATCTAGTACGCTTGAGCTGGCAAAACAACTGAGTTTTGGTGCTTGGTGCTTAGCAAGTCATTTTTTGATCGTGGAATATTGTCTTGAGTGCATGCTGGATCATCCCTGCAAGCTCGCCAAGCATCAGAAACATCAATTGGGCATTGCACCATCATTGCCCAATACCTTGCTCTTGAAGATGTACATGCTCCGTTACTGCCGTCCGATTGCAAAGAATCCTTGGTCGGCAGTGCTGGACAGTGATGGCAGAATGCAGGATCCTGTTGATGGTATTTCCCCACATCTTTGTGTGGGGTTCTTATTTTTACCCCGCCGCCGCGCCCGACTCACTCACTCACACACACTCCGCGCCCGACTCCCGCCGCCGCTGCCGCCCCGTCGCTCTCACTCACTTACACACACTCACTCACACACACACTCACTCACACACACTCACTCACTCACACACACTCACTCACACACACTCACTCACACACACTCACTCACATACACTCACTCACACACACTCACTCACACACACTCACTCACACACACTCACTCACACACACTGACTCACACACACTCACTCACACACACACACTCACTCACTCACACTCACTCACACTCACTCACTCACACACACTCACTCACACACACTGACTCACACACACTCACTCACACACACTGATTCACACACACTCAGTCACACACACTCACTCACTCACACACACTCACTCACACACACTCTCTCACACACACACACTGACTCACACACACTCACACACGGCTTGCGTTTGCGTGGCAGAGGCAGCATTTGGGAGCTGTCTAAAGGGCTGGGGTGTTGTCGCCGCGCGGCTGTGGGTCCCCATCTTGCGTGGCACTCGCAGCAGTTTGGAGAGGCAAGTGCTGAAATCGTGGCAGGCGCAGTACTTCGCGCACCTGGGCTTGCGTTTGTGTGGCAGGGGCAGCGTTTGGGAGCTGTTTAAAGGGCTGGGATGTTGTGGCGCGCGCGGCTGTGGGCCCCCATCTCGCGTGGCAGGCGCAGCGTCGTGGCAGGCGCAGTACCTCGTGTACCTGGGCTTGCGTTTGCGTGGCAGGGGCAGCATTTGGGAGCTGTCTAAAGGGATGGGGTGTTGTCGGTCTAAAGGGCTGGGGTGTTGTCGCGCGCGCGGCTGTGGGCCCCCATTTCACGTGGCAGGCGCAGCACTTTGGAGATGCAAGTGCTGAAATCGTGGCAGGCGCAGTACTTCGCGCACCTGGGCTGGCGTTTGTGTGGCAGGGGCAGCGTTTGGGAGCTGTTTAAAGGGCTGGGGTGTTGTCGCGCGCGCGGCTGTGGGCCCCCATCTCGCGTGGCAGGCGCAGCACTTTGGAGATGCAAGTGCTGAAGTCGTGGCAGGCGCAGTACTTCGTGCGCCTGGGCTTGCGTTCAGGTGCATGCCTTTGTTTTTTTAATGCGCGTCAGGTAATTTTCATTTCATCCTTGAGATTGGATACGGCATCAATCATATGTCGCGCTTGCCGCAGCCATTTGATTGAGAGATTCGCTCATGTTTCAATTTCTGCATTCAGCCCGACAGGCGTTCTTATTCAGGGCTTGCAGCATGTGTCAAGTTTAGTTTGGAAATCTGAAATCAGCAAAAGGAAAAGGACGCAAGTTTTCCTTAGCCGAAGAGAGTCATCGTGGCGCATGGCGAGCATCTGTGCGGAAGGACGGCCGCCGCGCGAGGTCCAGTGCGATGTTGCGGGCAGAGGCAGATATTGATTTGTCTCAATTGCAGAACGCGTGCAGCGAGGGGCTAGCAGCATTGGTAGCAGCACACGCAGCGATGTCAGCAGCAGCCAGCTCCAGGCAGCAAGATCTGCAAGAGGAGAGGCCCGCTATGCCAGCGGCAAGGGGGCAGCAAAGCCAGACGCGGGACACGCTGTTTCAAACATTGGTGGGCTGCTTTTCCCAGTGGCTGCGTCAAGGGCACTGCGACAGTTGGTCTCGAGCTACGCCAGCATCTCGGGCGTTGGAAAGCAGTGCTGACATGTCTGGGATTCTGGACGCTGCTATGGCTTTGGCCTGTGAGCATTTTGCCATGGAGGCCCTTGCCGAGCAGCCAGACGCCCAATGGCTGCGTGATCTTGGCATCGTTCGCTTGGACTACGGCAGCCGTCCTCTGCGTACCTCTGGTTTGGACATTTGCCATGACTATGTGGGCTTGCGGAACCTGGGCAACTCGTGCTATTTGAATTCTGTGGCGCCGTGCATCCACGGGTGCGCGCCGTTGCGCGAAGATGTTACAGGGCAGTCTCCGCCCAAAGGGCCGCTGTCTAGGCACTCGCAGCGACTTTCTCAGCAGCTGTCTGGAGAAGATGGACGCTGGGACTATGTTTCGCCTGCTGCGCTGCTGCGCCAGGTGCTCCACGTGGCTCAACGTGGACAACGAACTGGGGATACTTCGCGCAGGGCAACTGGATGCTTCGGCGGCTTGAGTGCTCATTGCCTTCAACGACATCCAGCTCCCCGACGAGGAAGCTCTTCAGCAAGATCCACAGTCGGCCTCGGCCATGCGAGTGAAGCGGTCTGTCGACTGCTTGCTCGCACCCCAGCGGCAAGGCGAGCCAGTTCGGGCGAAGCTACGCGCGGCGGCTGGGCCAGCTTCCGCTGTCAACTGGATCTTGCGGGGCCGTCCGGGAGATGTTCACCAAGTTGTCATCATGCAGACGGAGACCATCGGTGAATGGAGTGCTCTATGGCACGTGCCGGTTGCCATCGAAGCTGTCGCATCTTTCGTCGCCTACTGGCAGTTCATCCTGGATTGCCAGAAAGGCCAGAGCGCGCTGCTCTTGGACGCCGGGCAAGCGCGTCCGCGCAGTGAGAGACAACATGCCATCCGCGGCCAAGAAGTCCAGCGCTTGGCGCAGCCCGAAGCTTTCTGTTTCTCTTCTTTTTTGTTTCATCGCACACGGCCTACTCTTAAACGAACTACGCGACCCAGGAAGGGAAGGTAGTGGTATCGGAGTGGCCGCGAGATAGTGTTGATGTTCGCATCTTTTTGGCTGTCTTACTTTTTTGTTTCGTCGCATGCAGCCTACTCCCAAACCAACTACGCGACCCAGGAAGGGAAGGTAGTGGTATAGCGTTGATGTTCGCATCTTTTTGGGAAGGCTCAGCGCACGACATCGTCTGCCTGACCCACAAAAAGCCAGCTACGCACTGAGCCATCGACATTTAGCTAGCCAAGCGCGTACACATGCACGAAGCAAAAGTATGCTGCCGTAGCCATCTTGCGTTAGCTGGAAAACGAAATGCGTTGATGAGTTCCTCAATGACTATGTCGCCCAGTTGGACTGGCAGCCGGTTGCGGGAGATGCTCATCGGCTGGAACGAAAGCCAGCTGACGTGGTTGAAAGAACAGATTGAGGGCGAGCTGACCGCGCAAGCGCGGCCAACGGGCTCAACCCGACCTGGCTCCTGGGAGTGGTTCCCCTGGCTCCTTGGAGTGGTCCGAACTCCCAGATGGGTGGCGAGTCACTGTTTACTGTCGCTCCTGTGAGTGCAGAATGTCGGCCAAAGTGCGCCCTTGGTGGGAGTCACATAGACACCTCAAGCTTTGTGGCTGGACACTTTCAAGCGATGCTTATTGGTATTGCCGCGATCACACGCAGCTGCAAGCGTGACTTTCGAAGACAGGCTGCTTGCGCGCGACCCACTATTGGGGAGGTGCTTCTACCAGAAGAGCTTGGCGCATGCAAAAAAAGCATCTGGCCGCATGTCAGGTTGCTTTGACAGCCTGCGATCCTCAATCGATGTAAGTGTGGCGCATCTTCATAAGCATGGACATGTGGGGTTATCCGGTCCTTTAATTTCTGTTGGCGCCGTGATCTCGCTTCAATGGCATCGAATTGGGCACCATCGTTGCTTTGGTTCACATGTTGAGTCTGGTTCCCATTCCATCGCAAGCTCCATTGGGTCTGTTTGGATTGGTCCTCTTGTGAGGTTTAAAAGCTTTGAACATTTTGGATGTTCGCAATTCTTCGTGACTGAGCATGTCGCTTGAGTTGAGTTGATCTGATTTGATATTTTGCTTGATGAAGCGTGTCTTTGTCCGGACTGTTGGCAGGAACGTGGCAGGATGTCTGCCTAGGCTTTTGATCTTGAGTTCTCCATCGTTTCCCATCTGGGTGCCATGTCTGATCTGCTACCTTGGCGCTCGAGCAGCAGCGCTGCAACACTGTCTGCACTTGATATTATTGCAGCGTCCATTGCATTGCATTGGAGTTGTCCTCCAGAACTACCGTCGGCCTCTGCCCGACCGGCGGTCCAAGTCGTTGCCATGCCAGAAGTAAGTGCAGGACTCGATCGGGCCTGCGGTAGCCAATGTCTTGCATGGGTGTAGCTCTTGGTCTTGACTTGAGATCATGCTTTGGAGATCAAACGACGGATGCTCGCAGATCGCGGGCTGGCCGTTTCGGTTTCAATCGTTGACTGAGCTGAGAGTCTGAGATCCTTATGAAATATCCGTGGTCGTTTGGTCGCTTCTGAACATGCTCTGACTGACGGTAGCAGCCACGGGAGGATATATGGTTTTGATCCCAAAAGGTTTTCCTGTTCTTGCCATCCTCATTGTTCTTGTTGCGCGGGGTTCGTTCAGAGCGCTGTTGCCGGTGTTTCTGTCTGCTTCTGCGACCTGTCCATCACCTCGCGCGTCTCGATCTGCCAATCCGATGGCGGGCGGGGGGCTTAGCCAAAGAAGGCTGCAAAAACATCACAAACTTTGACACAGTGAGCGTGCTTTGGCGTCAGAGCGGAACACCCTGACCCCGCCCACGGTACAACGCTTGCAACAATCCACGACACTGTTTTTGACCTCAAACAGTGAGGAGGCGCGCGCCGCAGTTGCTTGAATGGCATCTGAGCAGCACCCAGAACCCTTATTGGTCATTTTCTGAGTGGCTCGACTACCTGCTTTAACTGATTTAGTTTGGATTATCGTGGAGGCTACGTTGCCCAAAAATCGAGGGTTTTGGGCGCTGCGCGTGCGAACGTTGCCTACAACTTTTGAATATCGAGCTTGTCAAACTTGGCGGAGACGTGCTGCCAAGGGCGCTGAGAAGAGAGACAGAAAGAGTGTGGCGGCCGGCGCTAGCTCTTGGACTCTTGGTGCTGGAAAAGTGCTGCTTGTCATGCGAGTTTTTCTTGCATGTCCCGATTTCACAAGCCTTGCTGAGCTGTAAAGTAAGTATTGGCTACTGCACTCATCATTTCAAATTTCCCCTTAATCTGCATACATGCTTGCTACAAGATTGGCTCGAGTTTGTCGAAGCACCACGCTGTCCTGATGTCGGAAGCCCGGAACTCAGAGCTGAGACGGAGGATGACACGGACATGAACAAGTTGCGTGGCACCGTAGTGTCAAACTAGTCGGAGCGTGTGCCACTTTTAGTGAGAGCCATGCCCATTTACAATCGCAGATCCGGCGTTGAATTGTGCAAAGATCACAATCGAACCTAGAACAGCAGAGTTGAGTAACGCGCATTAGCCGATTTCAATCAGCGAACCAAGGGCCTTTGAAACAAAGAGCGTTGCTGAGCTCTTGAGCAGGAGTACGAGAAGGGATATGGATCTGGCCCTCACGGCACGCGAGAGGTGAATCTTTGCACCTGAACTGCACTGCAGCTGTGTTGCTTGTTGGCCGCTCGGACAAAGACTTCCACAAGAAACAGGTTGCGGTTGACAAGGGCCTTGAGTGTGTGCGTGTCACCGGCCTCCCAGGCTCCATCCGCTTCAATCTCATCGTGTCGACCCTTGCAGCACTTGCGCTGTGGGCCTTTGCGTGCTTGATGATCAGTCCACGACGGAGTGGAAGACTTACGTGACGCAGAAGTTCACCTGGCTCTACATCTTATCCCAGGACTGCGCAGCCTCATCATGTCATCCATTTCATGGAGAGTCTTGGGATCATATCGGAGGGGGTGTTGCGTGGCTGACCAGGACTACTGGATCGTCTTCCTGGTCCCCCTGGTTTACTACTACGGGGAGATGAAGCTGGGCAAGGACAGTGTGAAGTGAGCTTTTCAAGATCCGGTGACAACTAGGTACTATTTCATACTGCTTGCACCTGCTTGCTCACGTGAGAAAAGCTTGTTCACTCCCTCTCCTGTATTTGCACGGTTGTTGGAAGGACGACAAGGAGCCGGAGTACGGCGATCTGACTTACCTCGCCATGGTGTGGTGTGCTGGGGTTGCCATCGGCCTCATCTTCTACGGAGCTTCCGAGCCCCTGTTCCATCTTAAAGATGGAACCAACCGTCGCCTGGCTTTGATGGCGCTTGTTTGCAGTTCCGGGTGCCGTGCATGCTTTATACCATGTGCTGAAGCTACAACAACGATGGCTACTCCAACGATAACCAGATGGCAATGAACGCAATGCGTTACCATATTTTACTGGGGCTTCCTGGCATGGATTGTGTACTGCATCACGGCCCTGACTATGGGCTTCCTTTCATACCGCCACGACTTGCCTCTCTGCTTCCGCACCACCCTTGCCCCGGTGATGGGAAAGGCTACCTGGGGTTGGCTTGGTGACATGCTGGATGTGTTGACCATCGTCACGATCGTGGCAGGGCTCTGTACTTCGTTGGGTTTGGGAGCTCGACAGATTGTGGGCGGCTGCCAACGTTTGGGCTGGAGTAGTGGCTTGTTGACGGACGACGAGTTGACCAATACGGCTGCCTGGATCATTGGAATCATCACGCTTTGCGCAACAGCTTCTGTGGTCGCAGGTCTGGATATCGGGATCAAGTTTGTGTCCTACCTTGCCTTCATGCTTGGCAACTTCTTGATGGTCGCCGTGTTTTGCATGGATGAGTCCTGGTACATCCTGAACGTCATGACGAGCACCCTTGGATATCACCTGCAGTACTTCATCGAGATTGCCTTCGACGCAGATGCCTTTGCCCAACTGGCCCTGCGCAACGGGCGGCCCAACGATGGAAAGGGAGCGAATCCTTCCTGGATGGACTGGTGGACCATCTTCTACTGGGGCTGGTGGATCGCCTGGGCGCCGTTTGTGGGCACCTTCATGGCTCGCATCTCTCGCGGTCGCACCATCAAGCAGGTCATCCTGTACACCCTCACCATCCCCTTTGCCTATGCCTTGATGTGGTTCTGCACCTTCGGGCCAGCAGCCATCCGCATGGACCGGCGTGCCACCTGGCTGGCGCAGGTGGGCCTGGAGTCTTACGGCAATGCGGACTACTTCTTGCACGAATCTGCGGGATTCCGCCCTGCTAACGCGGGCAAGTGCTACAACGTGCCTGCAAGCCTGAACGCGACGGTATACCCCGGCTACGCGCCCACCCCAGGTCTGAGCCCAGTGTGCGTTTTCGCTTCGGCTGATTCTTCGGGCTACTGGTTTGACCTGATGAACCAGTACTACGGCATGAGCGATTTCTTGACCTTTGTGTCCATCGTCACGACTGTGCTGTACTTTGTGACCTCCTCCGACAGTGGATCGCTGGTGGTGGATCTCATCGCAGCCAACGGCAGGGAGGCTCATGTCGTTCAGCGCGTCTTCTGGGCCCTCACGGAGGGTGCTGTGGCTATCGCTTGCCTGGCGTCGGGCGGCTTCGGCTCGTTGACCGGCTTGCAGGCGGTGTCCATCGTCATGGGCCTGCCCTTCACCTTCATCCTGATGATCATGTGCACCTCCCTGTGGCGGGCCCTGAAGATTGAAGCTGGGGACATGCTGCCAGCAGGCCAGCGCAACGACTGGAACTTGCCGCTCTACGGTGGCATTTTGGACATTCCGGAAGTTGCATTCAGCTTGGGCAAGGCTCCGATGCCCAAGATGGAACACGTGAAGGCCTTCTTCGTGGCCCTTCTCTTGCCCGGGTGGAGTCTTATGAAGGCGATGAACGGCCTGGCCAAGTGGCAAGAGCGGGCCATGCTGCAAGCGACGCGCGTGTTGATCGCGATCGCAGCGCAGCTGTCCTTCTTTGGCTTCGTGATCTGCCACATCCTCACTCCTATCTACAAGGACAATGACATCGGCATCACAGGCCAGGGACTGTGGATGTTCGGCTGGGCCTGCTACCTTTCCAAGGTCTTGCTGACCAGCATGGTGCGCCACTTGATTCGGCGGCACTACTCCATCGAAGGCTCCGGAATGGAAGACTTCTGGGCGGCCCTGCTGTTCTACCCGCAGGTGCTTGCGCAGATGGTGGCCCAGATTCCAACAGCACCCGCCCCAAAGAAAGCGAAGGCCAGGCCAAAACTGCCGGACGGAAGGGTCCGGGTGAGACACTGAGAAGGGTTTGGTTTGTCTGGAGGAAACTCATGCTGAGTTGCTGCGCATTTGGAGCTGGGAGAACTTGGCCAGGTGCAAAAGGCGGTCGCCAAGGAGGAGATTGTCGTCTGACACGCTTGAGCTTTGCCTTGTGCCTTCTGCTTTTGTTCGACCTGGAGCCTTCACAGAGACCCTGTCGAAAGGCAGACACCCTGTGTCCCTTAGCCAAGAGAAGCGACTGGGTCCAGGCTGCATGCTCCCAACTCTTGACTGGTCGGACGGCAGAGTACAGCCGGAGTTCCTATAAAACAAGCTGTGAGAAATTTTGGTCAGAATGGTGGCTTCAGGACAAGGCTGTGCTTGTTTTCAAGATTTTGAAGCAACATTTCAATCTGCTTCAGACCTGCTTGGCAGTGCTTGTCATTCCTGGCCACTGACATACTTCTACTCGGCAGAATCTTTCCGAGTACTCACATACTATAAAGTGTGGCACTGCCTGACTTGAAGACACATGTTGTGAAGCTGATCCGAGGTTTGAATCCCTTCATGACTCTGTGTTTCGGTGCTTTACGTCCTAGGGTGTTTCAAGGTGCTACGCCAATCGTTGCAAACATCTCGGCTTTCTCCAGAGGGAAGGGGATACTGAGACAAATGTGACTGTCCGACTCCTGAGGAAGGCGCCTGAAAAGCGCGCGGAGACATGACGCATCACAAGTAGCACAGGCGACACTCAAATAGAATAGTGAGAACAATACTTGCAGGCAATAGTAGTAACAGGAATCAATCGCTGTAGTAGCAGAAATCAATCGCGATAGTAATAGAAATAGCAATGACAATGGTAAAAGTTATAATAGTTCCAGCAATAATGCTAGTTATAGGAATGATGATGATAGCAATAGTAAGACAGATAGGAATAGTGTGAGAAGTGGCTGTATTACAAGTACTAGTAATCTTATTTTTGGACAAGCAATAGCTCTTGTAGCAGTGTAGAAGCAGCAGTAATAGTAGTAGTAGTAGTAGTAGTAGTAGTAGTAGTAGTAGTAGTAGTAGTAGTAGTAGTAGTAGTAGTAGTAGTAGTAGTAGGAGTAGTCGTAGTAGTAGTAGTAGTAGTAGCAGGAGTAGTCGTAGTAGTAGTAGTAGTAGCAGTAGTAGTAGTCGAAGTAGAAGTAGTAGTAGTAGTAGTAGTAGTAGTAGTAGTAGTAGTAGTAGTAGTAGTAGTAGTGGTAGTGCTAGTGGTAAGTAGTAGTAGTAGTAGTAGTAGTAGTAGTAGTAGTAGTAGTAGTAGTAGTGGTAGTGGTAGTAGCAGTAGCAGCAGTAGTAGTAGTAGTAGTAGTAGCAGTTGAAGTAGCAGTAACAATGATAGTAATAGTAGCGGTAGCAGTAGTAGCAGAAGTAGCAGTACTAGCAGTACTAGCAGTAGCAGCATCAGTAGCAGTAGTAGTAGCAGTAGCAGTGGAAGTAGAAGTAGTAGTAGTAGTAGTAGTAGTAGTAGTAGTAGTAGTAGTAGTAGTAATAACTATTATTACTAGTAATAGTAGCAGTAGTAGGCCTCGTCGTAGGCGTAGTCGTGTCGCTAGTAGCAGTAGTAGTAGTAGTAGTAGAAGAAGAAGTAGCAGTGGCATTAGCAGCAGGAGTAGTAGGAAGTAGTAGTCGCAGCAGAAGCAGTAACAGTACTTAGTAGTTGTAACTTAATGTACTAGGAATCGTCATACTGGTAATAGCAATAGTCATGATAAAACCAAGAGTACCAGCAAGAGTGGCGGTCGTAGAGCTGCAATAGCAGTAGCAGTAGCAGTATCAGTAGCAGTATCAGTAGCAGCAGCAGTAGCAGTAGCAGTAGCAGTAGCAGTAGTTGTAGCAGGAGTAGCAGTAGTAGTACTAGTAGTAGCAGTAGAAGTAGAAGTAGTAGTAGTAGTAGTAGTAGTAGTAGTAGTAGTAGTAGTAGTAGTAGTAGTAGTAGTAGTGGTGGTAGTACTAGTAGTAGTAGTAGTAACAACAGTTCTAATCATAGGAATAGCACACTGATCAGACGAACAGCAATGGTAAGAGAACGAGTAAGACGAAGAGGAATATTAACAATGGTAGTGTCAGTATTAGTGGCAATAGTACTCGCAGTGGGAATACTAAATCGAAGTAATGATAATACAATGGCACTTCTCAGTATACACAGACAGTTCCTATTTACACACACTATATATAATATTTGTGATGCCTTGCAGTTACGTTCGCAATGTTGAAGAATGTAGTCAGCTGGCGCGTGTGGGGAAGCGTGTGTGAGCGAGAGAGAGAGAGAGAGAGAGAGCGCCCCCTTTCTTGTTCATGGAGGCAGTCGAGTCACGATTTCGTGGCTGCTTGGTGGATATTGTCCATGTTCTCAGCAAGCAAAGACCGAAGCCCCAAACCCACCCTAAACCTAATCGAATAGCACTCAAGACACCCTGCACTAAAGCCCGTGCCACCAACCCTAAACCTGTCAAAAACAACTAGCTTGAAATCTCACCCTAAACAACTCCTGAACCGCTTCCGTCCGGAGGACGGGCTTGGCAGCGCGCGCTCCTCGTGCCAACACCATACTTGGCGCGGCAAAGCCTAAAACAGGTGCACGCACAGACTGCTGAATTCTTCACCCACGTTCCATTGCGGTACTTTGAAAGGCCTGGCTCAAGCGAAGTAGTTTCGCGCACCCCTCCGAGACTTGCTATGACGGAAGCCAGAAACTCAGGGTTGAGATGCGTGCCAAAAACTAGGGTGGCAGAGACTTCGACACCTTGCAAGCTTCGAGAGCACGAGGTAGATAATTTAAGGGCTGCCGCCCTGTGCCGCCGGCCCCTGCTTGCTGACAGGGGACGTTGGTATGACAATTATGATTACGCATTTTTTGTCGGGTTTAACGGCACACTTAAAGCACATATGAAGAAGAGCAGCACGATAATGATGATGTTTTTGATGATGCAATTTTTACCCAACATTCGGGATGCTGATAATTATTTCTATGCATTCGCATTATCGCCAGCAGTTATGATGATAATTGTTACTTTGCATTTTTAGCATCACCAGCACTTGTTCTGATAATTATGACGACGCATTCCCTGCATCTCAAACAAGCCACTGCGGGATAAATTCGCATGATAATAAGCAGCTTGTTGAATTTTACAAGAAGTGCCCAAGGTGTGTGGAAAGTCGGGCAGGAAAACCATGTTGGGGGCCTTTTCTTTTCTTCTCAAGACTTCGATGTGTTGCTGTGGATGCGAAGTCTGGACTTTGTGCCATCGCTTCGTCTTCGCGAGAAGTAAGCCACCTCGGGATGCAATCAGATGGTGATGGTGATGATGATGATCATGATGATGATGATGATGAACTATGCACCCCCGGCATCACCAGCAGTTATTATGACAACCTACGCATCCCCTGCATCTCAAGTCAGGTCCAACGGCACAATTGAAATGATGAGGAACATGATGAGGAACATGATGAAGAAAATGATGAACATAATGATGAAAATGATGATGATGATGAACATGAAAATGATGTTGAACATGATGATGATGATGATGATGATGATGATGATGGCGATGATGATGAACATGATGATTATGATGACGAACACCACCATTTTCATCATCGTGTTCATCATCATCATCATGTTCATCATCATCATCATCATGTTCATGTTCATCATCATCATCATCATCATCATCATCCTGATGATAATCATCGCTACGCATCCTCAGCATCACCAGCAGTTAACGTCATCACTGTGCATCCCCAGCATCAGCAGCAGTTAGCCTGACAATCGTAACGCGTCCTCTGCTTTTTGAGTCGGGTCTAACGGCATATATGAAAAAAGAAGAGCGCCACGGTTTTGATGATGAACATGATGATGAACACGATCATGATGATGAACATGATGATGATGACCATCATCATTTTCATCATCACTATGCATCCCCAGCATCAGCAGCAGTTACCATGACAATCATGGCAACGCATCCTCTGAATTTCCAGTCGGGTCTAACGGACTTGAAACGTACATGAAAAAGAAGAGCGCCACAGTTTTGATGAGGAACATGATGAGGAACATGATGATGAACATTATCATCATCATCATCATCATCAGCATCCTGATGGTAATCATCGTTACGCATTGTCAGCATCACCAGCAGTTAAATGATAATCATCACTATGCATCCTTGGCATCACCAGCAGTTTCCGTCATCACTATGCATCCCAAGCATCAGCAGCAGTTATCATGACAATCATGACAACGCATCCTCTGCATTTCCAGTCGGGTCTAGCCGCACACTTGAAACGTATATGAAAAAAGAAGAGCGCCAAGGTAATGATGATGACCCGGATGCTGTGAACCATCACCCAACATCAGTGGTGATGATAATCATCACTAAGACAAGGACGAAGACAGACCCTTCCCATGCGCCTCCCTTTTTTGGAGAAAGGGGTCGGCTGATTTACATCCAGACGCAGGCGCAAAAGACGCTTTCAACCAGACATTCTTCAGCTGGATCAGACAGGAGTAAGTGGGAAACTGGGCATTGGTTTGCTCTCCGTCCTCTGTGAATTGGTATCTTGTGTGAAACAAAAAGGGTTGGCATGTTTGTGCACGTCCGCGCAACATTAAGCAGGAATCCCAAAGCAAACGTTGCATGACTTGGTGGACATACTCGAAGGCTTCTGCTTGTTCGTGCGCCATGTGGAAATGCTGAAGCACGGAGATAACAATCAATGAGAAGTGGTTGCACATCGCAGTGACCAAGTGTCATGAGCCTTAAAAAACTGGTGGCAAATGCTTGGGTCTGACGCGCGGTTTTTTGAGAGTGTTTTTCACCAACTTCGAGTGGGCCATTTTCGGTTTGCCCGCACTCTTACGAAGTGCGTCATGTTAGCAGTTGTTTGGTTAGCGTGCGGAATGAGGGGCAGCGAAGCGCTGTATAGAAAACGTGCTTCGCGAACTGAGCGAGAGAAGCTGGACGGCTAAGTCATGCTGAAACCCAGGCTAGGGCATTCAGTGCCAAGCCTTGCGCCAGCCTTCATGCCGCGAGCTTTCCGAGGCAGATAAGGAGTACGAGAAAGGGTATGGATGTGGCCCGCAAGGCACGCGAGAGGTGAATCTTTGC